TGGTGCAGTTTCAACCCGGCCGACTCGCTGGCGGATGCTGCGCCAGACAGCAGCAGCACGGCACACGCGATGCCGATTCACTTGGGGTCGTGGTCGCAGTTGCAGGAAGCGAAGGCTTTGTTCAAGCCGAGTGTTCACTTCCAGGGCCGGATCCTCTTCCCTGTGACTTTGGACACTGCCTGCCGGAGCACGGCGGAAGTTACGATGGGCCCTTTTCCCAAGAGTCTCAAACTTCTGAGCAACCATTTGGTGGTTGCCGCCTGGTGGGCGGCCTGCTACGATGCACTGCAGGCTGCCGACGACGAGAGAGTCGGCAAGTTGTACGAGTGTGCCCAAACCTGCACCCTGCGAGTCTCGTTATGGGAGAGCAATGCACAGGTCATGAGGATTGCCTTGGAAAGCTCGGAGAAGCACCGTGCGATCGCGACAACGTGTACTATCGACAACATAGTGCTGTTTGCAGACAGGCTCAGCATCATCGTCCAGGACTGCCCCGGAGGGACGTCAAAGCAGTTGGAGTATCTCAAGGAGAATGGCGTCTTGTTCCGTCAGAAGGAGATTGGACGCAACACCCTCACGGGGGCTTCTTGCCCGTCATTTTATTTGAAAATAATATCAATATGACTTGGACTTATGGATGACAAGTAGTTCCAAATTCCAATGTGCTGTCTTGTGTGAAGTCAAGGGCTCGGCTGATTCTTTCGTCGGTTCGTCTCTCTTCAGTCAATCCCAGGCCCTTGCGATCGTGAAGGTGCTGACGTCGCGGTCGAGGTCGATGTTGTCCTATCTCGAGGCACGGTATGGCCGGTCCTTGATTACGGAGAGCACCACGAAGTTGTACCGCATGTTCTGCCTGATCAAGAAGCACATGGCTGGTCCGGCTTTCGGCGTCAAAGTCGACCCCGAAGACGGCATGGAAATGCTCCTGAGCATGCTCTGTCTCGGACTCGACTCTACGCAGCTGAAGCCTCAGGAGTGTATCGGGTCCTTCTTGACTGGCGAGGAAGGAAGCAAGGTGACCGACCCGAGTTGCTGGGCACGGACGGCCATCCAGACCCTTTCGCTTGGCCAGCATGCACGCTTGCTCGCCGGACGCATGGAGAGCTCGATCTGCTCCAAGGATATGTGCTCCATCATCGAAACCTTGACCAACCCGGTTGTGTGGAGACAGGAGATCATGAAGCAGCGACAGGCAAGACTCCCTTTGTAAATGGTTGAAGGGTGTGATTTTGAGTCAGTGTCCTTCTTTGGTGAGACTCGCCCATGAAAACAAATCATGAACGTAGTATGTGCCCTTGTCAATCCCGACTCTTAGTCAAATGTTACTG